TGAGGAGCATTAAGTCTTCAGTGTGAAATTGTTTTTTAAAGTGATCTCTAGCTTTCAAACAATACATTTCACCTTCCATCCACACACACACACTTTTTAACCAGTAATATCCAATTGCCTCAAATGTAACACAGTACAGTTTGTGGTCTCTTTTTGTTTTCAAAGTTTGTCCTCGATGGCCACTGAGCTTGAGCCAATTAAATCAAAGAATAAACAAAGACTCTGCATCAAACAGGCTCCTGATTGGCTTCCTGTTGCAACTCAAAATATCTACATGTCTGCTGTTGTTATGTCCACAGTCTTGTTATTACATCTACCAAAATATGTTTAAAATGTCAGACAAACTCAACCTAACTACCAAAACATAAAATGTGAAATAAAACAACGGCCTGGAAATATGTATGTTTGAAAGACACAGATCATACATTTGTCAATTTTAGTCTAAAGTATATATTAAAAAGAATTCACGGGAAAAAGAGATTCATATATTTTTCTATTGTGCATTTCAGGTGTTCCAGTGTGTGAGTGAGTGTGTGTGTGTGTGTGTGTGTGTGTGTGTGTGTGTGTGTGTGTGTGACACTTACATGTGGACATGTGGAGGTTGGAAGCGGCTCTGGTTGATGTTGTAGTGTGTGAAGGCCTGTGTGGGGTTGGAGCTGTACTCGTCCACCGTGATGGTCACTTTGCCATGAGCCATCCTTCCGCCGTTTGGACATGAGACGCCGTTCGTTCACCGGGATTCAGCAGCGAGCCATGCAGCAGTCATCCTTCAGGGCCGCTCAAAAAGCCCAGGAAGTGTCCCAGCAGCGACCCAGCCGACCGACTCGACCAGGACACACTGCAGTCTGCACGGACAGGAGAAAAGAGACACACACACACACATCAGCTGCTTTAAAAACAATCACCTACATCTGATTGGCAGGTCTTTCACATAAGAAGAAACTGAAAACCTATAGGATTTAAATGATACACGTTTGTACTGTTCAGAAAATGAAACGTATGATCACACTCAATACTCCATGATGCAAGTACAGTTCTCTTGTTTGGTTTCAGAGGGCACAAAAAGATTTTTTTTGCTGTGTCACTTTTTGAATTTGAAAAAAACCATAATTCCTAAAACTGTTTATCAAAGCATTCCCCACAGAATCCAAATTACAAAAACTGCAGCGAGACAACTCAAATATAAAACTTAGATTTATTCTACCTTTCCAAACAATTTTGATTTCTAGTATTTCCAAAACTAAACACTGGACGGTTTAGGCATCAATTTACAATCTGGAAGGCAGGTTTTTAATTACCGCTCCGGCTCTGCTGATCATAAGCAAGCTGGTTTTAATGCAAACTAATATATTCACATGTAAAAATCACTGCAGGCATGGCCTCTAAGGTTTTAGCCTGTTGAAATTAAACCAAGCACAAAATGGTTGCAAGTATAAATCTCTGCTGGTGATCAAATATTAAGCAAAGACTTAAATAAAACAAGAGGTTGTTTACAATGCATGCACAAAACAGATTTAACATTACCCCAAAACATGCAAAAATACATTTCTGCTTTTCCCCCCAGGCCTGAAGTAACGACAGTCTACCTGGCAGCTGAAATGCTCTAGTGTGTGCTTAACCATACAATAAAGCACACTTTCACAGCTTAAATTATTTAAGGAAAAGCCTCTAAAAGAAACTGCACAACAAGTGTGGTGTTTGCATGTTCAGAGCTCACTCACCGGGCTTCGCTGTGTCTCCTGCAACCCTGAGCTTCCCTCCTGCCTGACCTCCCTGACTGACAGTAAAGTGGCCACTGTGGGCTTGACAGGCTTTTTATACCAGACCTCCCGATGCAGCCCGAAAGAGAAAAAAAATTGCCCTCAATTCAAAAACGTATCTTTTTGAGATGTAATCAGCAGCTCCGCAGTTCATTTGACGGTCATTAAATCCTCTGATGCAGTGGCGAGTAAACTAATACAAAAGGCTGTGACCTCCAGTTGTTGAATTATATTAAAGCAATCAAAACCCCAATTAAAATTTTAAAAATCCTTTTTTCACGAAAGTACTGATTTATGTTTTCTGGGTCAGCTAGAATTTCTTTGATATGTATATATATATGCCAACAAAAAGGAGGCTAAACTCAAATCTTGCAAATAAAACATCTTTACATCGCAAAGTTAAAATGATATTTCCTATCAATTTGATCGTTGCTGCTGCATAAGAAATTGATCTCCACTGATCTTCTTGGGCCTTCAAAAATCACTTTAATTAAAATATACCTTGCACACACTTCACCTCAGTAATAATTTTTACCAATGCAAAATACAAAAGTACTACTGCTTCTTGGGAAATGTGCTCTTTTTTTGCAAGTGCAGGCCGATTTGAGCAGCATGCTTCACGGTCTCCTCTCCGAGTGCAGTCGGTGTGTGTGTGTGTGTGTGTGTGTGTGTGTGTGTGTGTGTGTGTGTGTTAAACTCGCCTGTCTGTCTCTACCTTGTGGCTACAGTAGCAGCAACTAGCTCCGTAGCATAGCCTGCTAAACCTGCCCTGGCAGTGGATATTTTTTATTATGCAGACTGTAGCTTCGCACTGAGCTGCTTTGCTATAACGGCGGTGCGCACACACATTGTCAGTCCTGTCTTTGAACATACAGAGCCCCCCCCTTCAACGCACATCATATAACTTCACCAGTATAAATCACTCCGAGAAGCAGAGAGAGGGTAAAAGGCGAATAAATTGACCCTTTCTGATACCATACGTATACACAACGTGTGCTATGCGCCTCTTGCAGAAATGCACACAAAAAGAAATGAGGTCCGTGCAATCCTGAACTCTGCTCCCGGGATAATAAAAGCACCCAAAGGTGGTCAGTGTCACGGCACCGCCACGCTAACCTCTTGCTCGTCCTCGTAAATGACAAGCCACCTTTTAACCGACGGCTTTGTGTCAGGAATTTCTTTTTTTCTCCTCGTCTCTCTCTCTTCCCCTTTCCCTCCCTCTTCGGTTCTCAAAGCAAAGCGGAAAGGTTGCTCTACCTTCGTGTGGGTTATTTGTGCGGGTTTTATCTGGCCGGAGAAAGAGTGTCGGGTCGGGGTCGCCCTCTACGCGGCGGCGGCGGAGGGACGCGGGTCCATGCGGCAGCGGCAGGAGAGCGGGGAGGCTGTGAGCTGCCGTCTGGGGGTTGCGGCAGTCTGGGCGGATAGGGCAGAACCTTCGACCCGGCGAGACCTCGGCTGGCTCCTGTGGAAAGAAACCAGACAAGAGAGCGAAGGGGAGAGAGGAGGAGAGACACTGACAGACAGCGGAGAGAGAGAAGTGTGACGGAGGGGGAGTGCAGTGAGTCGGAGCTGCCACTGGGGTCAGAGAGCATAGAGAGCAGGAGCGAGCACAACCCCCCGCCACCTCCCGTGCGCGCGCCCTCACAGGCGGGGACACGCGCGGCGAGGCTCGAGAGTGAGGGGGGCGGAGGAAGAGAGCGCTCGCGCACTCCCGCTCTGACTCTGTGCTGCATTCACTTGCCGCCGGAAATTGCAACTGTATGCCGAGATCCACTTGACACACAGCAGCGCAATACAGTCTCTGGGTAAATAAAGCAAAATGCTTATTTATTCACATTTTTCCAATCTTATAATTGCATATACAGGCTTAACGAGGCAGAGTGGTCATCTAGTATTCAGAAGGTTTCTGTTTCTCCGGATAATACCAAAGTGTTCTTAAGCAGACACTGAAAGTCTAACCTCACCTGGTGGCAGCCTATGCCATCAGTATGTATGAATGAGGATGTATAAACTATAACTAATAAGTCATTTGGTTTATAATTAGTTATTTAATGTATTTTTGAAGGAGACTCCAAGTTACTCAGAATTCATGTATGGTAATAAGGCAAACATGATTATGTAGGCCTACAATTTAGTTGACATATTTTCTCTTTTATTAAATGTAAAGTTTGACTTACTAATTCATAACTTATAAGGTATAGCCTTTATAAAAAGGTGCCAAAAAACTTAACATCTTCAACTAGCCTGACTGTGTTTGGATAAATGTTGAGTTCTCAAACGTGGTGAAAATCCTTTTAACATCCACCAGTGTGATTACTTTTATCATGCTGTGTAGACGATGAGAACAGAAACATTCAACCAGGCTCCTTTATCAGCTGTTTACCCTCAGTGTCTTATGTTGCCCTGTAGAAAGGTTTTAGTGGTAGTTTTACTTCAGGCTGTGAGAGATCATGATATGACATATTATGAAGGTTATTGATTTCCCCCAATGAAATCTTATGCAGTATTCAATATTGTGGTTGCAGCACCTTGAACTCAGCATACAATGTCTCATTTGTAAAACCAGCACATGCTGAAACAAATAGATTTTTTTGGTCATGATGGACACTGACGGTGAAATCTTGATAAATTAGAGGGATTTTAAATTGGGCTTATTGAAATAATCGGTGCATCTGAACAATGCAGACTTGAGCTCACAGTATACTTGACTGTCAACTAATACACAAATTCCCATACTGAAATATGGTACATTAATTCAGAGCAAATGTTGACTTGGAATAATTCAACACTTCAGATCATCACATATGGGAAAACGATGCCAGAATGTAGACAGTGTTGTAAAATCTATGATTAGAACAAGGCCCCTTTGGGTTCACAAGTAAACAATGCTAATGAGTACCTGTGGGAGTCCTCCACACAACCTCAAATGGGAAAGCACAGTTTCAAAACAGGGAAAACTTCAACTTGGATGACTGAATGTAAAAACGGCATTCTGATCATCAGGGTTAATCTACCTGACTATCAATTCACTAACTAAAAATGAAGTGTGGATATTTTGTCTCACAAGTTTTGAAATGTACCGTACTGTACTGCTCCTAGTACTAGACTCCTGGTACTAGGATGCAAAGCAGAGAACAAATGTCACTGTGTGTGCTGTGTGCTCTGCATGTGTGACCATTAAAGAGGGTTTCATCCCACCCAATTATATTATATTCTATTTGCTGCAATGAACAAACCTTAAGAGTCTTTTTCTTTACATTAATTCCAAGCCTCCTAAAAAAAGTAAAATGGGAGCAACCAAAGTTTTTAAAAAGGGCAAATCCACTTATCCAGACTTCATGAAGAAGCAGTTGTTTGACATCATACAACAAGGGAAGTGAATTTATGCACAATGTAAAGTATACTTTTCAGTATATCTGCTTTTCAATTGAAGTCAATACCTTTCGGCCTCGGCCTTCCCTTGTGCGAACCTTACTGTGCTATTGATGTTGCATTTTAGAAAGTCAGCAAACAGCTTTACTTTTAGCCATGATTGTAGTCACGGTATCTCGCAAATACTGGATGGATTGCCTTGAAAATGTGAATAGAAATACATAATCCTCATGGTCTTCAACAATAATGTGATCTAGGATGTTTACCGAAGTAGTTATGTTTGAATTCACAACGCTAACCACATGTTGACTGTGACTGTAGTGAAGTTCGACACACAGTGCTCCCAGGGCAAAAGGAAGTGAACCCACGGCTCCCGACCAAATGTCCGTATTGGGAAAGAGATTTGGTTTTAAGAAGAAAACTTCCAAAAATGATCAGAATGTTTGGTATCATGATTGTCATCGTAATTAATGACACATCATATCTACAGCACATTCACAACAGTATTCCACATGTGCATCGCATATCTGCAATGAATAAAAACAACTTTGATCTAAAGAATGCACATGAGGACTGAGATAGAATTAGCTTCATCTGAGGCTAACATGTGTGCCCTTTACCTTTATAATGATACAACTTTAACTCATGGTGTCCAGCTTTCATTTTTCATTATTTCTCTGTGACAAAAAGCTTCAAAGCTTCAGTTTAATTCATTTACCTTCAGTTTTACTCTTGGTTAGCTTCTGTCCTTCAATACAATGAACCATGCAAATGGAGCACAGTTTTAAGAGCATTACATCTCATTGTGAAGGGAGTAGTGCGGTAACATCTTAGAGTAGCATCAAAGTGCTAATTATTATAGGAAAGTAATAAAGTACAATTGGAAAACTGTCTTTTTTTGGTCGGCAGTTCTTTATTGGAATGATTCCAAGATAACTCACTGTAAAAATCAATGTAATCTTGGATTAACTGTTTACGGACTAACTTTAAATAATAAATGAGGATTTAAATGCTGTTGCTCTTTAACTTTGCTGAGCTACCATTGTGAGTAATACCTTTTTATTAAATATCCCCTAATGCATTCCTTTGGGATAAAACAGGAAAGAAAAATTGATATATCCTAAAGATCACAGAGAGTTTTGGAGTCAAACTTAAATATAGGCTAACTGAAATCCAATAATAACAGTAAAAGAATACTGGTGGAAAAAAAGCTTGTATACAAAAGTGTTTAGAAGAATCGCAGTGAGAAACAGAAACATGAAAATAGTTCATTCCTGTAGCAGATCATTCATGCCCTATTCTACATCTGATAAAACAGATATTTTCAAATAGTGTTCTCTATTTTGTCAGATCGTATCAGTACAATATTATTATCACTGATTTAGAAAACACAATTGTATGACAATAAATCATTTTCATTTTCCTGTAAGACAGTTTTCCGCTGAAGGATGAATGATAATGTTGAATTGCTGCCCATCACTGAGCCCAGGAATGATTCAAATCAGTCAGGGAGAAAAAAGAAGAATTCATTTATCAGTTCCTAGGCTATACCTTTTAATATACTGATGGGATTTCTGATGAGAAAAGACTGCGTGGGACAGTCCATAATGGACTCATCTGAAGGGCTCTGCACATTTACATGTCTGCCAGTTGAGGCAGGGCTGGCTTTTTCTAATTTTACTGACATGCTTCAATTTCCCGGACCCATCAGCACGCTCCCCACTGCCACAACAGCCGGCGAGTCATTTCCATTTGACTTTTCTCTTATCTGCGCAAAAAAAGCATTTTCCATCTACTAGCCGGCGGGTGTTAATGTGAAAGCAGGGTTTGAATATAATGTGGAGAGGCCACATTTAAACATTTGACCAGCGTTTGTTCTCCCGGCTGCATATCGAAAACTGATGATAGATAGGAGACCAAATGTCAAGGAAGAAATGGCTTTTGCCATGAATGTTTTATTCAGCCCGGTGTCGCGGCCATCACATTTATACAATAGAAAATGTAAATGTTATGCAGAGTGTTAGAAAAAAAAACACTATATATTTTATGACCTTCTATAAAAGAGTGAAATTACTTTCCATCCAAATAAGGCAGAAATGAAACACATATTTAATGGGAGTGGGAAATAGAACCAGAGCTCTTTCAGGAGGCAGAGGGTGATATTCACCTAACCTGCCGGCCGAGGCGGTTCAGCGCTCTAACCTGCACAGATTTATGCCCGTCTTCCCTGCCTGCCATGTGGATACATAAAATGGATGCCTGTCTATCTGAGGGGCCCATCCACAGGCAGGAGTTGGGTTTTTAAATGTTAATGTCATTCAGATTTATGGGATGCAAATAGATGGTTGCTGAGGGTATGGCAGGCTAGATACTGTTTATGTCATTGAAATGCACACAGACACAAATGTTTGCCCCTGAGCCTCAGCAGCACTCTGAAGACCGAGCTGCCGCCGGCACCAGGCGTGTTTTCAAATGAACAGAAAATTGAATACAATCTCTAGATTCAAAGAGTTTTTTTCTTTTACTTTTTTTTGCACTGCCCGGTTGTTATCGGCTAGAAAAAAAATCAGAGCAATATACAAGTTAATTTTATTAGCACACAAAGTGGTTTTGTCCAGTGGAGCTTGAAGACAGAGCGAGAGCGGGAGGGCAGGGAGAAGAAAGGCGAAGAGAGAGCACACTAGCATGAAAGCCAAGTGTATTAATTCTCCTCCCATTCTCCTGTTGTGTTGTGATGGACTGAGTAATATGCAGGCTCACTTTCTATGCCAAAGGCTAGTTGAAGGCTCACAGAAGAGGACTCTCTGAGTCAGTCTCTCCAGGCCTCGCGTGCTCCCGCCTCTTTCTTTCCAGCCCTTTAAACTTTGGCAATCTGAAACAGTAAAAAATACAACAATCATTTCATTTCCCCCTGAGATCCAGATTTACCCGCATCAATTCAACACTTTCTGCCTGCCTCCGGTTCCTCTCTTACTCCCCTTCTCGTTCTGCGTGTGTGTGAAGCGGTCGATACAGTATAAATTAGGAGAACATTGGGCCACGCTGGCCTGCATGTGGAGTGACGGTGTATTAAATCACGTTAATTGATTAGCTGAAGTTCAGAAGAGGACAATCCTGGATTGCACTCAGTCCTCAGCTGCTCTGTTCAAGTGGCTCCTGCTCGTTACAGGTGATGACCTGAACACCTACACTGGCAATTAATCCACTGTCGATAACTTTCTACATTCTCCGCTTGTGTTTGCCAAGAACCCCCATGCGCAAAACTATGGCTCAGAGCCTG